CACCGTTGGAGCAATGTAATACAGCACTGCAGTCGCGAAAACGACAGATTGAGAGGCTCTGAATCACGAGATAGTAGCAGTCAACGTCTCGAAATCTGCAAGGAAAACGATTGGGGTAAACCTGGCGTAATTGGCCGAGACTCCGACAGCACTGGATAAGAATTTTCAAATTTTCATCGCTGTATTGGAAGGCGTGCGTCTTAACTACTGCTGCCTGCTTTCATGGCTTTTGTTGCCTCTTGCGCACTGGTTGCTATCCCCAGTCAATCTTGCTATTGCTCTACCGCCAGTGCCGCAATGAAGACACCAGCACACGGGGACGCGGATCCCCGTCCACATCGCACAATACTTGGCTGTGCGTGGATGCAGCGCAAATGAATGAGGGCCACAGGTTCTTATGCACCTTGGGGGCGGAGGCACCTCAGGGCAGGTCCACCGACTCCCGCGCATCAGACAGCGACGGCGTATGCCCCTCGTTCCCTGCTGCGCCAGCAGTGGCGCCTCGTGGCGGATCATGTTCACGGGGTGCCGTGCACAGCAAGCCCGGGCCGCCTTCCATGTTGGGTCAATGTCTTCGCTCTTTGCTGACCTCACTCTCCCTGCCTCCCTGGGCACCAAAAAGAATACGCTGCCTCCACATGCAGCCCAATGGGATCGCCTGATCTCTTTGCAATGAGACCTCTTCACAAGTGCGCTGTGTCTCTGGATGTTAGTGTTACATAATCATGACGCATGGACTGAATGACCCGACCGCAAAGGGACGCCGTGGCTGGGATCTGTCCGTAACTCCGGTGCCTCCCGCTCGCTCCCAGGCCGCCCCCACTGGCACAGCTTCCCCTGCACTAGAGGAGCTGTCCGCACTAGTGGTGAACTAGCAAGCGACCTAACACCGCATGCTGGGCGCCATCCCGGTGGCCTGGAGGCCTTCGTACCTCCGACGTCCGCAAGGTCGCAACCGCGGGCCAAGTTTTTAGCCCAGGGACGTCAAACGTCCGCGTCTGAGCACCGCCCAAGGCCACGGCCCAACTGTCACACACACCGACGCGCGCGCGCCCCACTGGCGTCCTGACAGCGTCCAGGTTGGACTGCTAACGGCCCCGTAACCCAGTCACGTGCCCCCGACGCTCCTCAGCGGGGCCGCGACGACGCAGTCATGCCCCTCATGCTCTCCAGCGGGGTCGAGGCGGGGTTCACATTTGGGACGCCACCCAGGGGCCCGCCCCCTTGAACGACCCTTCGCGGAAAAGATTCTCCCACGCCTCCCATCTGGGGCTCAGCGATTGCCCGGAGAACCCTCGGAAGCTGTACTGCAGGCCACCGTCGGGCGCCCCCTGCCGCCACACCAGGCATCGACATGGGTCACCGGAATAAGCCCTCAGGTCCGCCGGGGACGCGGTGCGGTCCCGCATTCCTGCCGTGCGGACTCGCCTCGTCTGCCAGGCAGGCGGTAAAAAGAAGACAGAGGCCACGGCCGCGCTGTGAGGCAAGGCCAAGCAGTCCTGCGATTCGCGGAGGTTGCCTGTTTGAGAAGACTGGCGCGATTGAAGATGTCCGGGGCGGTTTAGAGGCGGGATTGTCGTGGGAGGGGATGCCCCGCGGCGGGCCCGGGGGCGCGCCCCCGCGCTTCCGAGGCAGGGGGCGTGTACTGAGCTGGGACGCCGGCGCGGAGCACGCCCTCCAAGCGCGCATCGACGACCTGAATACGGCGATCGACCTGAAGAACGCGGCCCTGCCGGCCCAGATCGGCGCCGTGGAGCGGCGGATCCGCGCGCTAGAGATGCGCTGGGTGGTGGCCAAGTCGCGGTGCCTGCGCGACGGCAGCGCGCGGCGGGACGCGCTGCTCGCCCAGGCCTGGGCCGTGCTCACGGACCCCAGGCAAGAGGGGCCGGAGGGCGGGGTAGCCGATCGAAGGGCACCCATTTGGGACTTGGTCGCGCACACTGGAGCAATTCTGGGTTCCGTGGTGGCTCGGGTGGCGTCATCCGCCGAATGCGTAGAGCTGAGGCGGCAGCGGGACGCCTTGAGGAAGATAAGGGAGGAGGGGTACGCTCGCCTGCCGAGCGTGGGGGACGTCTTGGGGGGGGAGATGGCGGGGAACAGGGTTTGGCTGGCGCGACGGCGGGCGGGCGTTGCGGCCAGCATGCTCAACGTGGTGGGCGGGCTGGACGTGGGGAGCGCGGGGCGGGAGGAGTGCCACTTCGCGCGTGTGTGCCTGGAGAAGGTGAGGAAGTACGCGGAGGAAGAGGCTGGATGTCGGACGTGCGTCATTTGCTGACCCGGATTCTGAAGCGCGCTTCAAACAGTACATGGGGAAGAATGGTACATGAGTCAGTGCGTTAGAGCACCCTGCTGGATCACATTTTCATCAAAGGCTGTTCTGAATCACATTCAGAATCAAAGCCCGAATTGGCGTGGATTCTCTGCCGCAATGTCATGCGGGGAATGGTCTAAGAATAATGCGCCGGGGTCGCAGGGGAGGGGCGGTGTGGGTGTGGGTGTGGGATGGAGCGGGGATTGGGGCATTTTGCGATTATGTGGGCGCTGGGGCTGAAGTACTACCCTTTGAGACAGGTGGCGGATCAGGATGGCACCATTGGCTGTCGAGGGCACCCTTTGGGTGAATTTTCTGCTGCAGTATCATGGGGGGACTGGTCTGTGAATAATGCGCCGGTGTCGTGGAGGGTGTGGCGGGATGAAATGGGGATTGAGCATTTTGGGATGTTGTGGGCGCGGGGAAGAAGGGGTGGGGGGTGGGCGGTGAAAGGCAAGCATTTGAGACATATGGGCGGATCAGGATGGCAGCATTAGCTGTCGAGGGCACCATCTGGGTTTTCTGCCACAGTGTTAGGGTGAAATGGGCTCCGAATAATGCGCTGTCGTCGCAGGGGTTCGGTGTGCGATGGAAGGAGATCGGGTATTTTGCGATGATGTGGGGGGCAAGGGCAAGAAATACAAGGATTTGAGACTGGTGGACGCATCAGGATGGCCTCCAAAATAATGTGCCAGTGTTGCAAGGGGGCCCCTGGGGGGGGGATGGAGCTGGGATTGGCGGGAGCGGTGGTGGGATGATGAGGCACAAGGGTTTAAGACTGGTGGGCGCATCAGAATGGCAACATTAGCTGTCAGGACACACAAAAGAGTTCATCGCAAAGCAGTTGTTTTCGCATTCCCATGAGCATTGCATGTAATATCACGCCAGTGCGCCCAATGTGGCTCACTGGAATCTTTAAAGGAATCGGTTGAAGGCAAAGTCTTCGGCAGTACGATGGCATCTGTTGTCCCCGGCGACGAGCGGGTGTCGCTTCCTGCAACACATGTGGTGCCTTTCACCCGAATTGCCGCAGCGCGGAGGCATTCCTTAGTGCATGTAGTTGGGAGCATTGGCAAGTGTTGTACGGTTAAAACCGTACAGGGACGGCGCCTCTTTTCTCGCAGCATCTGATCAATTGTCTTCGAGGTCGAGTTACCTCTCGTTAGACCGTGACCAGTGTGCGGGGACCCCGTGAATGCTGCGGTCCTGGTAGTGGCATCCACGGGCTGACGAGGTCGTTGCCCTTGCAGTACAGACATCGACAAAAAAAGGCACACGCACGTTCTAGAGAGGGGCTGTGGGTCAATGAATGTAGAGAACGATTTTGGGCTGGCTCTAAATGTCGTGCATGGTGTTCCAGTTGGCACCGCCATCCAAAGATGACTGTCGACACACAAAATACACACCCACACCCTTGGGCTCAAAGTAGTAGAAACTCTGCTCAATACAGGATCGCGTCATGTCCCTACGTACAGTCGGCAACGAACTGCTGATGGCATGGTTGACAGGGGATTACGCCACGGTGGTATGAAGTACTGTGCGGGCTGGACAACGATGACCGCCCTGGTCTCTGGAAAGAGTCCCATGAAGTCTCTGGGGGTGCGATGCCTCGACCGTCGACCAGCATCCTGGCTGCAACCGCTCGGATCGCTCTCTGCCATTGTGCGCAGCTGGCGTCCCACCATCGGGCATCTGGACGTCAATGCAATCCCGATCGGGTAACAAACCACGGCAGAAACACGATCGCAGCATGCGGCCCCGCTTCGATGACTTTTATCACGCCTCCGTGCCACTGGACTGATGAAGCAGCAGCCACGCACAGCTCCCGAACACAGTAGCTGGCGCTCGTCGCGAGAGATCTGAGATCTGTTCGGCATCCTTTCTGCGAGTTTTGTCGGCGGGCCCCTGTGTACATCCTCCTTGGGTTGTCCCCCCGTCAAGCCAACTGTAGCCGCAGCCTCAGGGCGCCGACTCGACTCATTCCCACCAGTGCAAAAAGCAGCTTTCTGTGAAAGCGGGTGCAATGCTCCACGGTCCGCATTTGAAGTCGTGTGGGTGTTGACGGGATGAGTGCTCACCCGTTGCCTGTGCGTGCATGCGGAGGCCGCGTGAATGGCCCCGGACTGCAGCGGACGAGCTGCTGTGCTTATGCTCAGGCGCACCACCCGTCCAGGGGGGCCTCCGCGAGACAGCGACAGCCCCTTTCCGCGTCTCCTGCCGCCCCGGCGGCGAGCGAGTCCCCTTGGGCCCCCGTGCCCAACGGCGAGCGGGGTCGACGCAACTGCGAGACCGGACCACGTCACCTGCGCAGTCGCCCCCACGTCGTCGCGGTACGAATTACGACCCTCGTGTGGTGATGGCCGAGCGGCCGATTACCACAGCACTACGGCGCAAACCCCCGCACCCTTCGCAGTACTTTCGGCGCTCGGGGGCCCCCAGCCCAACCAGCGCAGATGCCTGTCAGGATACGGGGGCGGCGGCAGGCGGATTTGGCGCGTGTGTTTCCTCGGGGCACCCTCCCACGAAGCACATCAGAACCGCTGAAGCCCTTGGCTAGCCCGCCTGAGTCAGTCAATCCACATGCGAGGCAGCCCATTCGCCCAAGGTATATCGCTCCTGCCGGCCCTTTGGGCGCCCCTCAGCCCGCCAACGGCCCCCCGCGCGCCGCCCCGGCGTGCACGCCCCAGCCATGCGCTCCCGGCGGGTACTGGACGAGGAGTCCGGCTCGCTGCCCCTCAAGCACGGCCATGGCGACGATCCCTGGGGCAGTCAGCGCGCGCTCCTGGCCCGTCGAGGTGGCTCGCTCGACGTGCCGATCACGACTAAGTCGATGTTGGCCGGCGCGTTCTGGCGCGGTGGGCGGGCTCCACGGGAGGGCCGCTTCCACGGCAGAGGGCGGGTACTGACCTGGGAGCCGGGCGCCCTGGATGCTGCCCAGGGGCGGGTGGAGGGTTTCAACGCGTGGATCGACGCCGAGAACGCGCGGCTGGAGGCCGAGATCGAGGCGTGTCTGGCGGTGATTGCGGAGATGGAGGCCGACTGGGAGGAGGAGAAGGCGCGCAGGAGGCAGCGGCGGCGGGCGGAGAGCTTTCGCCGAAGAGCGGAGCAGTGGGGGACCCTGACGGCCACGCACGAGGACGTCGAGTCGGCGGTGCCGGGATGCGCCCTGGAGCGCCGCGCCTCCTGCGGCTTCAACCCGCGGATGCTCGCGGACGGGTCGCTCCGCGACGTCGTTGAGCCCCCGGAGCTGAGGGCCCAGAGGGCGGAGCTGAGGGCCATCAGGGCCGGGAGGAGGCGGCGGTTGCCGAGCATAAAGGAGGCGCTGGGCGAGATGGACGATAGACTGGGGAGTGCGCGGCTGGCAGTGCCCAGGGCGGACGTTGTGGCCGCGCTGCTGAACGCGCTGCTGGCGATGGAAGGCCAGGGCGGCGGGGAGGCCGCCGACCGGGCGCGCCAGGTGCTCGGGAAGGTCGAGGGCCTTGCGCGGGCGCAGCCCCAGTGCAGCGTCTGCGTCATTTGCTAGGCGCGCGGCGGGGGTCAACGCACGTGGCGCGGGGCCGGCATTTCTTGCGGTCCGTCGCGGCTTGCCGCGGTCCCGGCGCGAGTTTTCTTGCGCGAGTCCGGGAACCTCGGACCGGCCCGAAATAAAAGGGGGGGGGCTATTCCCATATGTAATTTTCCCGGGTGGGAGCCGCAAACCGGCCAGGTAGTTTTCGAGAGACGGCGGGCGGGCGGGGGCGCGCGCCGAATTGGTACGGCCGAATTGAATGCTGAACAAATGCGCGCACGTGTGGCGTGGGGGGCAGCCCCGTGTGCCCTTGGACCGTGTACCATACTGTTGATTTCAGAAGAGCACTTGTCTGTGATTGTATTGATGCCATGGGAGCGTTTCTCCGTGATTGGGAGGGCGGCGACGGGAGGGCTGACGCCTTGGACACACATGGGTGCATACGCTGTGCGGTCGCAGTCGGTGCTGCGGGTGTGGAACTCGATGGTCGTCTAAGGTGTTAGGAACTCGCGTGGGGAACTGTGAACTGCCATGGATGTGAATAAAACACGGTTCGGATCACTGTCGCCCTTTGCACTGGCGATTCCCCGCACCATTACTAAACTACCACTGCACCGCAGTGCACTCGCCTGGAGTGCCATGGAACAAGTGTCCCTCATCACTTTGTGGGCGACGGGATTCATGAGGTCAACATACAGTGGCTAGACGATCGATTGCCGGCAATTTCAGGACGCGTGCTCTTCATCGCTAGTGCTTGCCTCGTCGCTGGTTGAACATGCGTTAACAAATGATTCACCGGCAGCTGAAAATATGGGAGCTTTTCTTCTCCCTTGCCTCCCAACATCACCCAGGCGGCCGCTCAAGCAAGAGTGCCGGCCTGCTACCCTTCGATCTCTTTGATCGTGGGGATTCTGAGGCCGGCGGGCTGTGAGGGGTCGGACGTGTCTATTAACGCAAATCGTCACAAGATCTCTTCCTGCAGAGTTTTAGTTGTGGAGCGCTATTGGCAGCCACAAATCTGTGGATCCAGAGAAGCACCTGGGCGCACCTGGGCACCTGGGCCCACCTGGGCTTGAAGCAGTCCCCTGTCTGATGCACTGGTTAACCAAATATGCGGCCCGTTGATTGACTGTCTGCTGTTCCTGGAGCAATGCAAGGGGATGCAGGTCCTGTTTGAATACCCTTTCGGAACAAATTAGTACAAGAGAGTACTGTAAAATATTGAACCCTACATCATTTTTCCCCAAATCACTTTTGTTGGTCATCGGTAGTGGCACAACAACTGGTTGCACCGCAATGATCAGCATCAAGCGTTGCGGCGTGCCGTAAATTCAGCACGCCCTGATAACAAATTTACACCTAGTAATGTTGTGCCAATCAGTTGCTCACTTAACTGCCAGCGGCTGTCATCGGTTCGACAGGCCATGGGAATTGGAATAGGAGCACTCATTTCCAATCTTGTTGAGCATTGAAGCGCGTCATCTCCCGCAAAAGCTGGATACTTTCTGATGGTGCAGGGCACCTATCAGGGCCATAAAATTCGTGCATGGCGATGTCTCTTTGCAACATGACAATTTAAGGCATCGGGGTTGAGCCTTTCTTACGCATTTCACCCAATTCTCTGTTACAACCGTCCAAAGGCATGCCAACCGCGATCATATATCACTGCTCCTGCACCTACAGGGTGACATCGAGAGTCGCCCATAGCAACACAAAAAGAGTATAAAACCGAAATTGTTCCCATACGCGCCCCCGTCGATCCCACAAAACTGCTAGTGTCCCGAAAGTGACACAAGACATATTTTCACCGTCTTGAAGAGCCTGCGAAAGCCCCAGCTTATCTCCACACAACGGCCGGCGCTTCACTGCAAGAGATTTACAATCCCTTATCCAAATCCATCCAGCTTGACAGAATTGCTTGCACAGATCTCTATGTCGCCTTTGTCCCGATACCCGGATGGAAACCCGCTGATGCGCAACACCAGTGCCATGACCCACAGCCCGTAGCTGCGCACCGTCTCGACCCATGGCAGGGGAATACCGAAATACGGTGGCAAAAGAACTGCACCAGCGTCATCACAAGTGTAAATTGCCTCACTCCTGCAACCCAGACGATCGCTGGCAGTCCCCCTGCTTGTTTCTTGGATCAGCCTGTGCGTTTCTAAAATACAACTTGGCTACCACCGCGTTCGAAAAACATGAATAGAGCCCATTCAGTCAGACTACGATGCATAATCCTACAAAATCAAAATTGAAAGAGATTACGCCTCCTCCATAATCATCCATGATGTGCATATCATATCCAACGCGTCAAGCCTTCTAAAAGTTTAAGGGCCTGGCATCAACTTGGGCTGTACCAAACAGACAGTCCTTCTGGTTGAACAATCTCGGGTGGTTGAGCAATTTGGCTGAGCAATCTTGATTGAATTCCTCTCAATGGCACCCCTTCAGATGCTGAAGACCAGCTGAAGCGAAATGGGCAAGCTTTGAGATCGCTTTCCTCGGTCCAGCTGCTGCAGCCAGAGCAATTTCTTGGCAAGCAAGATCGACTGATTAAGCACTGCTGCAAGTCCATCTCCCAGCCGTTCCCAACCTTGACGTTTTGACCCCATTTTTTAGGCCAATTGGCGTCAAGCACACAACTGACGGCTTGATCGCATGCACAGGCCGGCAGGCCTGTGGAGCACAGACGTTTCAATCCTGCAGGACACAGCTGCACAGTGAGAACACAATACATGGCATCAACGCACTGATATACTGCACAGATACTAAGTGGGCAATCGCACAGAGGTCGAAGGCGTCTAAACAATTCCTGGGCTTGAAAACTCTGCCAAACATGTCTTTGTCTTTGGTACTGCACATTTTGTTGAGTTCCTTTGTAATATCAACAGTTGTCATTTCACAAAACTCTACCATCTCTCTTGATCAACTGCACACAGCCTCAAGACAGACATGAACATGTCCTTTGGGAACAAAGGGGGTTCATGAGCCTAGAATCTGTGGGCCCATTCATTTTCAAAAGAAGATGTCGTTAACATTCTAAACACAGCAGGATGCGCCATGAGCACCTCTATGTGCATCGATACTTTATCTCTATCTCAAAGAACCCTTCAGGTTGATTAGGCAGCAATACAACGATGTCCACAAGCGCGAAAACGACGGCCACACTCCTTACCATGTTGCTGAGCAGCTTGGTTGCCTATGGGGGGCACATGGGCATGGTACACGCCATGTGGGCAGGGCTTCAAATCGGGCAAGCTCCACGTCGACAATTGATCTTGGCATCTGCAGAAGTCTCTGATCAGGGACTGTTCATCACCAGGTGACAAAGACATTCTGCACCAACGCATCCTGTGCCCAACAGGCATATAGAGTGTATAGCAGAGTCTCACCCACATTAGCCACATCCCCAATGTTCACATTCCAGAGCACAGGCCTCAATATCACACCCTCTGGCATCGGGCAAGGACTCAGCTGCTGGAGCATCCATAGATTCCAGTCCTGTGCTGTCAACACTGATATCTTTTCCTGTAGCACACAACCACTGCAGATAAGTGTCGATGGGCAGGCATAGCCACTCGCTGACCCTCCGGACTTTCATCAGCAGAACTTCAACCCTACACTCTGGCTGCTTCTGCCACACCCTGCTGCCCAAGGACTCCAGCCTGGCAACAGTCCTCCCCTCCATCCCGAGCACCTTTGTCATCAAGCCCTTCTGCATTAGCTCAGCCAGTGCGTTCTTTCCCCCAGGCAGGCCCTTGTCCTTGATGAACTGTGCCTGGACAACAGCAGACAAGCTCCTCCTGTAGCTCGCCAGCAGGTGGTCCGCCATGCTGTTTTTGAATATGGCGCTCGTCAACTTCATCTCCAGGAAGGTCGGGCTCACGATCAGGTGCCCCAGGCTGTTGATTACCGCCTTGTGTCCAGTGTGCTTGTAAAGGAACCACAACTTGGGAGATCTGGATATTGCGTCTATGTTGTTCACCACGTGCCATGTGTCAGGCACATAATTTGAGTAGTCCTGGGCAAAGGCATGGTTCCCAACGCGCGGGCAGCCCAGGGTGTACACAGAGATCTGATCTTCCCTCAAACCCAGGAGTTTTCGAATGTCGTAAGCAGCCAGCTGAGCGATCGCCCCACCCAGCGAATGGCCCGTCAGCAGCATCTTCATATGGTGCCTGTCAAAATCAGGTGAGCCAGAAATCTTGAGGACCATGGGCACTATGCTTTTGCTCAACGTCTTCCAGCTCTGGTAGAAGCCTTTGTGCACGAGCGGCATCGTCATCAGGCAGAGGAGGCCCCTTGGATCCAGGTGAGGGACCCGCCAAAGCTGCAGGTCAGTCAGCAGGTTCGTCGCGCTGTGCGTGCCTCGAAAGGACACCACGATGGTCCTCTGATTCCAGGCAACGAACGCATTGGTGTCCAGTTTCTCTCTGACAAACTCGCAGTGCTGCAGGTCATACAGTCCCATCGCCACGTCCAGAGAGAAGCAGGCTCCCCCTTTGCCAGTCTTCAGGCCTTGCTCGTACACCACCTCACACCAATAGTAAGCCTTCACGGCCGTTTCGAAGCAGAACGACTGCTGTGCGGCACTCGGCAGCCCATCTTCCAGGGCGGCCACGTCAGTGTGTCCGCACGAGAGCCGTCTCGTGGACTGCCTTGTCTCCGTCCAGTCCAGCCTGCTGCCGACCGTAGCAAACCGCCCATCCTCCGCGCGGGGCGCCCTGGGCATGTACCAGCAGCTGTTCACGACCGTGAGGGCGTTGAACACCAGCTCGGGGGGTATGTAGCCAAAGACGGTGGCCATCAGGCTGTAGCAGCTGGACCGGTTGACGACGAAGAGGAGGCAATGGCTGGCGAGGCCGAAGAAAAAGGCCACTCCCCCCGTTGTCAGGTCATACCGCAGGCCCAGGAAGGTCCACCGGTACTGATCGTAGCTCTTCCTGTGGAGCCGCGTGAAGCCACGCCTCACGTAGTATACATACAGGGCGAAGAGTCCCCACAGGACCCAAACCACGGCGATGGCGATGCTCCTGTCCCACATCTGACCGGAGCACTGCGTCCTGTTCTCCTCGCACAGGGATGGGAACTCGCGCTCGTCGGCGCCGTGCAGCAAGGAGACGTGTCCCGCCGCGATGAGCACCTGGTACAGCCCCCAGCACATCGCGACCGGCCAGTGCACCCACAGCGGGGCGTCCAGCAGCGTGGCGTCCTCCCGTGGCCCCAAGGACCTGCCCCTACTGTCCTCCCAAAGGTTGGACCACTTGGCCCGCACGACGTACATCGACAGCAGCGTGCCCCAGCACACCGACTTGAAGTAGGCGGCCCAGACGGGCACCCTGTCGAAGTACCCGCACTCCCGGCTAAGGGCGTACAGATTCGGAGCAAGGTAAAAAATATCAATGGCCGCCATGAGGGCCGTCTCGAGCAGGACTGCCTCCACTTGGCGCCGCCTCCTCATCGACCACCTGAGCCCCATTCGGTTGACAGCCACCAGCCTCGCTATGAAAACTACCAATGCGCTCCACACCGCGATTGTGCCCAGGCCCGCCATCACGGCGTTCACGTAGAGCAGGGGCCTGCCGGACCGGACGCCCCCCAGCCGGTGCGTGAACTTCACCGCCAGGATGGCGACCAGGGCCGCGAAGCCCACCTCGATGGCGCAGTACACCACCCTGAACAGGAGCTTCATGGTTTTGTCCGGGACCAGCTCCACGGACAAGTGCACGTCGCCCCGCCGATCACCTACCCCACGCGACTCCGACGAACAGCGCGACGAGCCTCCCGGACTGGCGCCACTTTCGGAGCCGCTGCCGCCGCCGGCGTCCGTCCCTTGCGTGGGTGCCTCCTTGCCGCATTCCATGGCGAGGCCGCATTAACTGCTCGAAAGGATGCTGCGGCAGTGGGCTGTGGCTGGTCTCGGAACTGAGCCGCCGATGGGAGAGGAAGCGCCGGGGTGGCCCTGGCAACAAGCCCCCGGGAAGCCGGGGACTGCGACCTGTGAGGTGTCCTCCTCGCCCAGCGGTATTTCAGCCGCCTTCGCCATGCTGTTGGATCGGGAGGGGACGGCGTGTCGCCGTCACAGGGGTGCGCCTTACCACGCCCTTACGCCCGGGAACGTCATGGTTTTACGTGAGTAAGTAGGGCGTCATGTCGCGCAAATGCGGGCGATGTGTGGCGCACACCTGGGCAAAGCGCAGCAACTGCGGCGCCACGACGCAGCCACCAAAAAATGAGGGCATCGGCATTTCATTTGTCCAACATAGCAATCTGAATCTGTAATGAGTCGGCTTCCAAGTCTTGCAATACTCCGACGCAAGCGCAGGACACCAGCACACAAAAGCAGATTCACAGACACAAGCAGACTCTGTACGGCCCTTTCTGCCGGCACCTCCTGGCCATGCACCCTCTGCCCAACACTGTGAATTTTTGTTGTGCAAACCCCACTGATCCGTTTCGGAAACAACTTGGTCTCTCATTGAACACATCACGGACACTGCTTCTCCAGCGGAAACAGAAGCCATATGCCACGTCTCCCTGTCCCAGATGGTTACTGACCGGTCAGTCCGCGTGTGCGCTTGTTCACTAGGAAAAAAAGGGCCAAATAACACGTGTTCAAACGTGTACAAAGTTTACGGGTTTGTGTTATTTTTGTGTTCCTAGCGTGTAAAACTATGATGAAATGTGTTTTATGTGTGTTCGCAAAAGTGTTATTTGGCCCTTTTTTCCCTAGTGGTTAATACGCCAGCCCCCCGCGCTCTCACCAGTCTGGCCCCACAGTTCAACCCCGTTGGTTGGCAGACCATAGTCCACAGAGCCTCGAGATGGCTTGGAGCTGTATGCACCAGAATTCTCTGCCGCACAATGCCATTGCCTTCTTGGTGCATTCGCCGCACACACGGGGTAGCAAACAATGGTGGCGACACGGCAAGTGCCGTTGGGTGCTTCGAATTTTCTGTGATTATTCAACGTTGAGTGACAGCATGTGGTAAAATTGAGCGTGCTCTTTCGAACAAAATTCGCCACTGGGGTCGACTGGATGAATGCATCGATTAATTGACTTACTAATGTACTACTTCCCGGATCTGTAATTCTGAGCCATTACGTTGAATTCCACTGGATTCAACAGCTGATATGCATTGCGTACATTCACTACCACCAAGGTTGTCCCGAACTTGTAAATTCATTTTTGCCGCAGATGGCGAGAATGCGCGTGAATTTTTCGCCTTCGGCTGCAAGAGACATCGCCATAGTGTGGGTGTCGATGACCGTGAAAAAAGCGATACAAAGACAGGTAAGTATGGTGTGCAAGCCAGCTGCGACGGGTCTTCGAGATCCAGAACCACCCCGACTGCGGCCATGACAACCACGCCCCTTCGGTGCACACGCACAGCTGCCCTGCGGGAATCCCATGCAGGTTCTTCAATCAACGGCGTGGGCGGTGCGGCACCGACAAAAATTTTACACAGCACTGAGGCAAGAGCCCAGGTGATCTGCAGCGATGGCGACCGTGGCTGTGGAGCCCTGAAGGAGAACAACAACGCAAGGAACATGGCTGAAGCGCAGAAGTTGCAAATCTGCCTGCGGGACAAGAATGGGCCTGGAGGAGGGATAGGAGAGACAAGAGTGGAAAGCCGCTGTTCATCTCTATCTAGGCCATTCGTTTCAGGTGCGAAAGAAAGGGGATAAGGGTAGTGCGACCATAAGAGTTCAGCGGATGCAACATTTCCTTGCAAAAATGGCTTAAACACCTTAAATTTAAGGCAATTGAAAATCTGGGAAGAAAGAAAAGATGAGCCGAGGTAAATTGGTCCTGACTGGCTGTGAAATTCTTCTTTGAGAATATCTTGAAGGTCGGCAAGATAGTCCCTTGGCGGATTACCATCGTCACAGAGGTTACTGCTTGTAATTTATGACCTTTATGTCTGTCCAGGCGGCTAGCCGCAGGTTATGCAGAAATGCATCCTGAAAATAAGAGTACTTCATTGTCAGTCTCTTAATTTCGTTGCCAACTAAGCCACTCCCTTGTGCCTACAGGAAAATTTCCTGCTCAACAGCGTAGGGAGCTTGTTCATTTTTCTTTCGAAACAAATCGCCCATTCCCCAAAGCACTCAAATTACTGTGAATGTACATAGTGCGCCACACCCGCAGCAGGTTTCCCCACAGTGCGATGGGGTGCTGCCACTGGCAAAAAGGAACAAATAGCACTTTTTGCGAACACATATATATGCATCTCCTCAGTGTTGCGCATGCTAAAAACATGGATACAACCCAAACCCGTAAATTTTGCACACGTTTGGACACGTGTTATTTGGTCCTTTTGCTCCTAGTGTGCCTTGTTGCAGAACGTGCTGTGGGAACGCAACCCGCCAATGCGCCAAACCAATTGCACCACTCAAAAATACAGAAAACGCTGGCAAGGGCAGCCCCACGGCCCCGGGGCATTGTTCCTTGTCTCAAGTGTCTTCAAGTTCTTTCTTCCTTTTCTCTAGGGATGTTTTGCAACTTTCCGATTGTGTGGCCGTTCTGTGGGTTTGGGGGGCAACTGGTGATTTGCATCATTTTCCATTGTTGTTTTCAATTTACTCGTACAAGCCCATTTCTGTGTGAACGCGCGGAGCGATAATGTGGTGCCAATGGTGTGTGTGATTGATTGCCCCCCTCGCCACACACACCACCCTAACCCCTGCAGGCGCAATGGATCTCTAAATGAAGCATGCGGGCAGCGAACAATCAACCAGTCAGGTGAACAGGCGAGAAACATTAGGGAAAACAGGGCCAAATAACACGTGTTCCAACGTGTACAAAGTTTACGGGTTTGTGTTATTGTTGTGTTCTTAGCATGCAGAACTTTGATGAAATGTGTTTAATGTGTGTTCGCAAAAGTGTTATTTGGCCCTTTTTTCCTAGTGAAAAGGGTTGCAAAACAGGCAATGGAAACGACAGTAAGCCTCCAGATCGCATATTTCCCCAGCAGTTCACGGCAACATGGTTGCCTTAGGAAGCCAGAATAGCATTTTTCTTGCTGCCCAAAGAACCAACTCCCTGCGAACTGCTGGGAGAATGTGTGTGCTGGCAAAGCAGCAGAAGAAAATGAAGGTGAAGAACAGACGGAAAAGGACCAGTCCAAATTGTCAATCGGCAGCTGGGTTGCTGTGGGGCCCACGGTCCCAAGCCCCGATACGGTTGCGCGATCATACTTCTGCATGCACAGCATCGCATAGGGCGACGTCATTACGGCATACCTTGCGATCATGTACGTACAGAAATTCGCGCATTGAGGAAGCAGCTAGCTTCCTAATCTCCCTTTTCTGATCAAGTAAGGGCAGATGGACTGCTGGGAAATTCGTACCCTTGGGCCCAACACCCCCCCGGCACTGCCTGTTGCCGGTGCCCGAGAGATGGGCTCCACCTCGCGTTCGGGCTTCGTGGCACCGACTGGGAACGCGTCTGACCTGTGGCCCATTCCGTTGCCATTCTGAACTTCGCATCGAGTTCCCCACCCGTCACTGGCCTCGCGTGGTGGCGTCAGACCCTTGGCTCGGTCCATAAACTGTCGGCGGCGGGCTGCGCTTGCAGCTGTGCAGCGAGCAGCCGTTTCGAGGGAACGCATCTGTTGAGAGCGAAGGAGACGAGGTAGAGATCAGAGAGACTCTCGTATTTGTCCCTCAGCGAAAGCACCCTCGAGGGCTTGGAGAGCCGCTTGCGTTGGTGGCCAGAACGACGGCTGCCAACGGAAACGAGATCTTGATCGGGTTCCAGATTTGTTAAGCTGCAGGAATGGGTCCGAGGCTTGTGCTGTTGGCAGTGGCTCTGCTGGCGGTGTTTTCGGCGGCATTGGCGCTTTCGCCCCCCGTTAATGGGGCCCCAAAGTCGCCCTACTCCCTCCAGGACTTCAGCGATCTGACGCGCTGCGCAGTCACTTCACGGACGTCCGTGTCTATTACCGGTGGCGGCAGCGCGCTCGCCAGCGCGTCTTCCACCTGCGAGGCCAAGGCAGACTCGGTGGGCGCCATCCAGGCAGCCGTGCGCGATTGGCTGGACGCCATTGACGCCAAGCCAATTGCCGCCTGCTGCGAGGCCAAGATCTCGGCCGTGGCAAGGAATGTTTCGGTGGCGATCGCCCAGACATACACCCTAGCGGAGGCGCAAGTCGAAGTGAGCGGCGGTGGGAGCGCCTGTGCGTCCGCGGCATCGGAGGCCGACGGCTACGCCGTTGTTTTTGCAAAGGCGATCCTCCGCGAGCCGCTGGCGCGCGGTCACGTCACCGCCGGGGACGACGGCGTGTGCCTTACGGGCGCATTGTCGGCCGCCTTCGATCAGGCATGGTCTCAAGCCAAGGCGTCGGCATGCCAAACCGGGAACGGCAGCAAGGAGGTTTCCGATGTCTTTACGCGGAATCGTTGGAGGCTGCCGTGGCGAGAGCTCTGATGGAAGTAGCCAGGGCCGCCTGCACGACGCCCAAGGGCGCGGAGAAGGTAAAGGAAGCGATGGGGGCGCTGGGGGTGGGTGCGGTGGAGGCGAGCGCGGAGGGGAGTGCTGAGACGCTGAGGCGGGCGAAGGAGGGCGTGGCCGGCGCAACGGGAGGGGCGCTGCCGGCGTGTTCCGGGAATGGGGAGGCGGCGTGCTGCGGCGCGGAGCCGGCGGAGGACTGCGGCTGGACGGCGAGGGAAGGGCTGGTGTGGGAGGACGGCAAGGGCGGAGGATGCTGCTGCCTGGGGGGATTGTTGCCGTACCTGGATTTGGAAGGTTGAGGAGCCGGCCGCGGGGGCGTTCCCCTGAAAGGGGGGGAACGCCAGTTGAATTCGTTAGAACGCAACTTGGACGGAGATCGTGTTGTTTGCTGTCTTTGTTAGGACATTCTTTGAACATAGACTGCGGGGTGGCCGCGGCGTGTCGCGCTGCTGGGTTTAGTTTGTGCTAGATTTGGACAGGCGCCTTGCGGGCGTCTTTGTTCCGTCGTCATCCATCAGTCTGCGATCAAACATTTCATTAGAATTTGACGCTGGTCTTGGATCTTGTGGAAGGCAGTGTCATCACCCAATTTAATTGCATTCTGTGGCTGTATGAGAATGGCGCTGTGCAGAGAGGCTGCTTTGAAAGGCGAAAGAAAAACCCCCCTAAACCTGCAGGATATCAAACGGATCCACTGCCGAGCGCCGCAAACTCTTCGCCTTCTCAAGGGCGTTCATATTTTGCGCAGCTTTGCAATTTTCCAACGTACGTAGCCAACCCCCACACTTATGGATGCACCATGTTCAGTTTCACTTGGGCGCAATTCAATATGTGCGACAGGCGTGTGCCTGCAATACCTTCATTCGTGCCTTTTGGTCGTCGTTATCTCGGACAGGCCGCCGTTCCCAACGTGGCGAGTCAATGCACACCAGCACTGGTCCCCGATCAGAACAAAGCAAAAGATGCCACCAGGTGGCGCAGCTTGCAAAAATCAATATCTCACAAAAAAAAATGCGGCGGTAAGGACGTCTAGAACAATGTACCACGAATCAATCGGTGTACATGGCCCAAGTAGCGCGAAAAGGCTTGTGGGGCCCGGACGCGAATATCAACGTGCCTCCGTGTCACCGCTGGCCCAACCCTCCACCACGCTGCCAAGGATGCCGTCGCCGATCCTGTGCCTCGCGGCGCTGGCGCTGGCGCTACCACCGCCCGCCCGGGGCGTCTGCGGTCCCGACAACTGGCGCGACTGCGCCGGCAAGCCCTGGGTCACGGGCGACGTCATGGACACACCCCTGGGCTCCGAATGGTGGCCGCACCCGCTGTGGGGCGCGGGCGACCAGGCGGGGTCCACCAATTGGTACTCCGACCCGGGCGTTGTGCTGCGGGCGGCGGCGGAGGCGGACAAGGGGGTGGTGTACAAGCTGGGCCGGCCGTACGAGTCGGAAATGCCGTTGTTTGGGGAGCGCGTGTTCTCACTCACGATCCCCGGGTCGCCCACCATCGGCCCTCTGGGAGGCAACAAGCAGGTCGCCTTCGATGACCTGCTGGTGGCGACGGTGAGGGCTGGGGAAGCGGCGTCCGGGGCGCGCTGGGGCGGGGGCGGAAGGCGAAAGCCAGGAGATCCGCTGTGAAATTAGCAGTCTCCGGCACCGTGTGAATTTGCGGACTCTAGATGCGGAGCAGTTGATGGGTGATCCAAGCCCGTGGAGTCCCTCCAAAGATGGTTGCGCCTCCGTGGCCTGGCTGCGAAAGCGCCGGAGTCGGCGCTGCGATCGCCGCGTGATGAGTCCCAAGCTGTCGGCCAGATCTTGTCCAGCTCGGCAACTGCTGCTGCAACCGGAGACATGTTGCGCCATCTGCGTCCCAGTCAAGCGATGCCTCACAATCCAGTTGCGCGAGGAGATTAATTAGCCGGCGATCCCTGAGCCCCCGTGGGCTGTCGTGTCGCGGCAGGTCAGCCAGGTGGGCACGCAGTTCGACGGCCTGGGCCACGTGGCGGTGCAGATCGGCGCCGATGGCGACAAGTCAATGATGCGCGGCTACAACGGCTTCGTCCTCAGCAACTTCTCCCGCTGGAACGGCCACACGGCTCTGGGCCCCGAGCGCCTGAAGCCCATCGTAGCGCGGGGCGTGCTCCTGGACGTGGCGGCGGCAAAAGGGGTGGACATGCTGGAGGCTGGGTACGAGATAACGCTGGCGGATGTGAACGAGACGCTAGCGGCGCAGGGCATGGAAGGATTCGAGTTCAAGTCCGGGGACGGCGTGTTTTTCCGAACGGGCTGGGGGGCCCTGTGGGGCGTGGACAACGAGAAGTTCCTCAGCGGGGAGCCGGGCATCTGGATGGAGGTAGGGCGCGGGGGGGACCTCAGCGTTGGTGGGTGGGCTGGATGGGCGGCACAGCATGGGATGATGGGAAGAGTGACCTGTGCGCATCGCACTAGTGCGTAGTACTACGCAGTCACATTTTGGAACGGGGCTTGCAGCGCGAAGTCGAGTGGCAGCTTCTGCTTTCATCGGTGAGGTGACTGCTTTGGGGACCGCGGGGGCGGGCTGACGTGCTGCTTCTTGGCGATGAGTGCAGAAATCGGACCCAACATCCTCCAGGTGTGTGAGCTGAGGGTGCAGCACTTGTGGGGGCGGGCAGGAACTCCTTGCTTGCACGCCATTGGACCGTCCTTTGTGGGAGTGCCTTCGAATGGCCCTCAAGGCAATTACTGAAGACAACTGGACGTTTGACAGTTCCAGCAAGGGGGGACACTAAGTTTTATCGCCGCTGATCTGCACTGGGCCGTGATTTGATCTGGTCCGTGCTGAACATCCCTCCCCTTCTCCCTCAGTATAACGCTGATTCCTGATAAGCGGAGCAAAATCGCCTCAATGTCAGCCCCAACCGACGATCAAAGACCAGCGCAATATGACATGTTGCATGTGTGCAGACGCCGCCTCCAAATTGTGCTCGGGCTGCGCCATCCATGTTCAGTTCGATTATGTGACCAAGGAGCAGGCCTGGGAAATACGGCTGGGTTTAAATGAAAATGCGCAATAATATACGCGAATTTTGAAGCATTTTAGAGCCAGTTTAATAAATTTCCATAAATTGGCCAATTACTGGATGAAACCTGCCATTTGCACCCCGCGGACCTGCGAACTGAACGTCACGAGGGAGTTGGATGTGCTGTGGATGCGGCAAGGAGTGAGTGGCGATTCTGAAGGTCCCCAATGCTGCTGACATAGTTGCTATTGTAGAGGCAGTGGGCGAGGATGCCATGGATGGGGCGTACATGCAAGCAGACTCGCTGAATTTGTTTGGGCGCTGAGCGGTTGTCGTTTTTGGATAACAGATGCTGACTGATTAAAATTCCTCATGTCATTGAGCCTGTATTTGTGCAAAATGCTTGCCGCATTTATGGACGCTTTTAAGGCCCAAACACAATAATTTGTGACAATGCACGTATTCTACCATACCATTTTTTGGCTGTATCCGTATTTCCCAAGCCGGCCAAGGAGCGTGTTGAAATCTCAACATGTATGTTGAACACGTGCGTTTGAACCGTGCGCAGGTTGCGAGGTGGCTGACGGACGAGGTGCAAGCTGGTGTCTATGGCTCCGACACGGGCGGAACAGAAGTATTCCCGGTGAACAACCCCGACAGCGAGGGCTGCGTAATCTGCGTTCACGACCACATGCTCACTCGCCACGGCATCGTGCATCAGGAGGCCATGGACCTCGATGGCCTTTCCTCCGACGGCGTGTACACTTTCATGTACGTCTTCACGCCAATGCCCATCGTGGGCGCTACCGGGTCGATGGGATGCCCCATCGCGATTGACTGAATTCGGCCTCTTCGACCACTGCGTGGACGGGCAACTGGAGGCCAGTGGCGAGCTGCGACGTGAGTGAAGATTGCTGTTCGGCATTCTTGCCGCCCTCGAGTCGATGAGCAGAAAGGGTCCAGGGCACCGATATCTCTGACTCAGTTGCAAGTCAACATCTCGATTCCATGGGATTCTCTGGTCAATAAATTAAGTTGTGTGTAAGAAATATGGGCTTCGCACACTCGATTACGGATGTAGCTTGCATTGCTAATGTACCGTTCAGCGCACGATGTATTGGCACTGTGCGGCCCGGATGTCGCAAGACATTGGGCCTTGCATGCAGGTGTATGCATGCGATGTCGCTTTTGACTCTATCGGCCACGGGGGATGGAAGGCGGGCTTCCTTTCCCCGCGGGGTAATGTTGGCGGATCCTGCACATGCCGCTCTTATAGCTGTGCATAGTATTCCTGGACCAATTTTTTGCAGCCCAAACGCACAGCTCAATACGAGCGCCGCTGCAAGTCCGCATTTTCAGCGGCGTCTGTGGGCTGCAACATTCGATGCAGGACTCTTAAGGCGATGATTCAGCGCTTGTACTGGAACACCACTGGTGCTAGTTGCGTCAGCGACCCCCAAGATTCGACACCCCCAAGGCACAGTTAAAAGCCACTTGCTTGTCGCGAACGGTGAAATGATGGCGCCGACAAGACCGACATGGCAATTTGGCCATGCCGCAGTACTTACTGAACAGTGTGTACAGATACCCAATTGCGGATCCCGGGGGCCACGCAAACGCCGCTGTGGAGGCGCATGCGTACGCGCAGCGGGCACTGCATGGTGGACACAAGTTAATGCTATGTGCCAAGGGGTCGCCGCCCCATAATACAGGTGTTATGTACACTGCCTTAGAGGCCCTGCATCAGTTGCCACAAGTGTAATATTCCATTGTGCAATCATCGCCAATGGAGTCGCCCTAGCGCAGCAGCCGGTAGCAGTCTGAAATTCACTGTACTCAGGGGATCTTGTTACCTGCAAGTTGTCGTCCGCGATTGCTCTTGGCCATGGGCAATAATATTAATAACTTGGAAGTACCAAACGAATTATCCCGCATCCGGGCAACTGACAAGAAAGCATATTTGCATCGCTGGTACTTGACTGGTACACATCAGTCAACTAACAATACAGGATGTCGAATTATCTTGTATTGCCAGCCATGGTCACATTACTGGGCAATGAGGCCTTTCGTGCCTTCGGCGTAGTGGCGTATTGCTCTCACCGCCCTGCCTCTTGCAACAGCCTCGTGGTTTGCAAGTGACGACTCTCAATTGCGCAATCGGCTAAGATATCTTCGAATCATTCTCATGATCGCTAGATTCTCCGGCAGCCCAATAGAAGCACACAGCGGTCAGGGAGCGAGGATTCGGTGAATTACATTCTGCACGTCGCATACAGTATCTGCGGCGTTCTGGTTCCCAACCGCAGCGGGGGTGGCCTCCAAGAGAACTACATGGCTCTCTTGGAGGCAGTGGACATCTTCCAAGATTGGGAAGAGGATAACGAGCCGTAACCACGACGCCTTCTGGTAGCCATCCAGGAAAGTTTCGAGCAGCTCAGTCGCAACTTCGCCGGGTACACGACATGCACGACTACCCCCAACTACGACCATGACCACCACGCCCTTCGGTGCAGAAGGGATCTGTCGTTGACAGCGGGTGGACAGCTGCGCTGAACATTCTTCAATCTACGGCTAGCCTGGGCGGTGCGGTAAACAAGGAAATTTGCGCAGCACCGAGGCTGTCGCAGCGACGGAAACAGCGGCTGTGGAGCCCACCAAAGCCGAACAACGACGACAGGAATATATAACTTGCTGCCTGTTGAGCTCGACGCAAAATGCGGACTTGCTCGCTTCGATGTTTTGACTTTTTGGCCACTGTTCATGCAATCATCTTTGGATCGCCCATGGCTCGTCTCCTCCGAAATCCGCTCCTTTGTTATGAAAGTGCGCTACGCGGGTGCAGGGGTGGGGCGCATCCTCGGCAGTCGGATGGAGCGCAGGCGCTTATCTGGTTTCGGAGTGGACGCTCAGTGCTGTGAGCATTTGCAGCACAGGCGCTTTCAGAATCCGGGAGCCTCATGCCTGTTCCAACAGGCGTAGCTTCACTAAGCCACGAAGCGGTCCCCTCTTGCAAATTTTTTGAGTATGCGCATTTCATGGCGCACTTTGCAGGATCCCATGAATTCCATTCATTTCTTTGGATTCATGGCTGGAAGTGTGGTGAAGCCGTTCCGTTGTCTCGCAGGCGGTTGGTCGCGTCTGCCGTGACCATAGTTACAGGGCCTGGCGAGGAGGGAGCAATCGTGCTTCCCAAGCATGGATGACGTGCCTTTCCAGAGGCAGATACTTCTAAACCAAATGTGGTGCTAAACGACGTCGCGTTTGCGCGGATGCGCTCTTCGAAGATTAGATCGTTAGGATTTGTGGGTAAGCTGGAAGGACAAAGAAGGTCGCATTCGAGCAATTTGAAACTGCCTGTGGGCAGAGGACAATGGCATCTGGCAATGGGACCTGCGGCGGTGTTGGCAAGGGAGACGGCTTCAGAGATGCCGCAGGGTTGTGCTGTGTGCCTGTGCAGGGTTGTGGTAGCTCTATGCGAAGATTCCGTGCCACGATTAGTCTTAGAGCTGTTGTGAATGTCATTAATGTTGCCCCAATACTGGGACACAACTTCCGCAAGTATGCACATGCTTTCACTAGGGCAAATGGCCATTTCCGGGACGCCAGGTGACAATGAATGGGGCCTACTGGGGCGCCACTGGTACGCGTCATCCGAGACCCTCAACTCGGCCAACCCTCGAGAAAGCGGCCCAATGGCGTCCCTGTGGCGTCCAAGCAAGCGTCATTTATTGTGACCTGGCGTCCCGGAAATGGCCATTTCCACTAGTGTGTGTGCCATGTGCTTGTGCGCTGTACATGTGGTCATCCCCACGACAAAAGGATCGGTTGGGAGCCAGACAGGCTAAAACAAAGGCACTTTCCCAGCCACACATTGTCAATCGGCTGCCGGGCTGACAGCGCAGGACCGTGAATTTATGGATCGCTCCTCACCGTGCATCGATTGTGCGTTAGCCAATGCACGGTGGCAATGGCGATGGTGCTGAGATGCATGCGTGAGGCGAGTACCGTGTACGTAGCGATTATAGCCTTTCAATATGCTTGCGTATCGCATAATATTTGGGGTTCACGGGACAAAGCGTGCCCGATAGTGCTCATTCTTGGCATATTTTCTCCCCTTCTTGGTGATGGTGAGATCCCTATCGCCATATTTCCGTTTCCTCTGAGCGCCTAAATGCCACATACGAAGTTGTATCCCATTAATAGGCTACAGCTCTACAGCGTTGAAGTAAATTACATGTTTCTAAAGATCAGCGTGGAGTAAAATCAGGCCAGCGTAACGTTCTCAGTACTGTGCATCCCAGTGTACTGATTGCAGGCGTGACTTGTTGCTCACAGCCAGCAAGCTCAGCTCCCTTCCTCTGGAGCTCTGCGTATGCCGCGTCACGCTGACTAAGCATGTCTGCAGAATCCCAGCTCCAACTGAGAGACCTCCTGCTGAACACCTACAGGAACAGAATTTTCCCAAAAGCAGCCAGTCAGACACATTGTTGCTCAATAATTGGCTCTGCAGACGAGGGAGGTGAATAACATACGTCTTCATACATTCACCTGCAACATCGGTTGGCAAGCAGGGATTCTGTAGTGGCAGCCTTATTCTAACACAACAATCCATCAAGCAACGGAAAAATAATGCAACCAACCTCCGAACTGCTAGTGCAAGTTTCGATGCCAGTGCCACACATGGCTTTGCGAGAACACCAACATTCAGAACATTTGTGCACTTCCGCTCCAACATTTCAGCCTTGCGTCTGCTTCCAAAAAATGTTGCATCAGTTCATTTCTGTCTGCAGAAGCTCCCTCCTTTTCCGAAATAGCTGCTAGCAGTTCCTGCTCGAAAGTAAAGAGCAAGTCAATGCTCTTCTCTTTGCTCTTCGGCAGCGCAGAAATGGCACACAGTCCAGGCACACTGTCGCCATGTTGCTGCACTCACGTTCTCCCTCTTCCGTGCTGCCTTCTGCAGCTCCTCATGTTGTGCCTTTGCCTTTTGCAACTTCTCTTGGCCAGCCTTGATCAGCTGCACGCACCGGCCGGTAAGCAACAGGGCCAGAATCGAGGCAGACGGTTTGTCCATTAAAATACGAGCATGCGGTCACAGAGGCAGAAAAACAGCCTGGGCGCACCCGGCACGTGTCAGTGCACCGATGGAGTTGCTTGGAAGCACAGCTTGGCAGAGGAGCGCAAAATGTTGGGATGTCCATCACATGAGGTGACCTCATGGCCAAGACAATTCTTGTTCAGCACTTGCACAAAAGCTGCACCTGCCACTTAAAGCACGCGGCTTTGCACCAGGCCGAAGGCTTTGAAGTACAAGCTTCGAGCGGCTTCCAGCAGGGCACACGAACTGATGCAGGTAAATTGTATTGAGAGGGAACGAACAGTAGCTGGGCTTGTTATCCACGTTTACATTTGTGTTTCTGCGCTTACATTTTCACGCGGTAAAACGTATACTTTGTAAGAGGGGCTATGTTTTCGCCTGTGTTACGGTTTTTCATGGCTTGTTGTGACACCCAGAGTACGCGATGAAAGTCGTGTACAATGATCAGTCTTCCGCTCCCTCCAGCACCCGCAACACGGCGTCCACGTCGCCCTCGGCAAGGGCAAGTACGGCATGGAACAAAAGTTCGTTTTCTGACCATTCCAGCGCTTCTGGATGCTATTACCCGGACTCCCTAAGTCACTATGTACTGCCCTTATGCATGGGGCTATATTTACGTTGTATTTACCTATTTAATGCATTTTGTTGCATAAAAACGTAAATAAGATCAGTGTTCACGGCGTAAATAACAAGCCTAACAGTAGAAAACTATTTAGCTTGATTGTGCGATACACTACGCTGCTGTG